GCCTAGAGCGGCGCGGCTTGTGTCGCGCTGCTCAGTGACGTTGTTGGCTGTGCTAAGGAAGCAGAGAAAAGCTTCGTCCTAAACGGTTCCTGCACAGACGCTCTTTTTCAGCGTCGCATTGCAGTCGAGCCAACGTGGATGACACAGTATACATGATATGATCGCAGTGGTGTTAAAATAATATAAATGCTCCAGACTATTCACGTTTCTTCACTTATGCTAGATATGTATTCCATAGTAGGGAAAGCAGCACTCGTCGCGTCACTTCTCAAAAAATGGGGCTTGTCACTAATCACTAAATTATTAGCGTTTATGAAATTGTATTATCTGTCGCATCCACTTATCTTTTGAACTTTCAAGAGATGAAGGATAAGTAAAAATGCACAATCGCTATTGTTATACCGCAATGTGCAAAGAAAATGCACAATTTTTTGGCATAAACCTACAGCGTTTAAGACTATTCTGTAATCTGAGCTATAACATATCTTTGCGCACTGGGATAAAATTAAGCGTTTACTTGCAATCATTGAGTGTTATGCTCGCTATGTTTTACAGACGTGAGGCTCTCTTGTGCCTGCTGGCCAACAACGTCGACGAGGCCGCCTACACAAGCCTCGTGGAAGCCCTCTGCCAGGAGCACCAAATCCGTCTGCTGAAGGTGGACTCCAACAAGACGTTGGGAGAGTGGGCAGGCCTCTGCAAGATTGACAGAGAGGGCAAGCCTCGCAAGATCGTAGGCTGTTCATGCGTAGTCGTCACGGACTACGGTTCCAACCTCACGCAGGCGCACACCATCATTGAGAACTACTTCAGTAGCAAATAAATGGTGGCCAGCTGAGGCTGGAACGAGTCGTGTAGTTTTAATGCCCACCGTTTAAATCTTTAAGTCGTAGAACCCTCAATCGTTTTAGGCATCAGATTTGGTATCCTTCGTAATGATCGGACATTACTGCCAAACGTAAAATTACTTATCATTTTAAGTTGAATGGAGATTTAGACTAAGTAGTTGTGCTCCTCATTTTAGAAGCTCGAACCATATTTTTTTTCGTAGAACACTTGCCTATCAATTAAAGGAGGCGTCAGAAATCAGTGGTTTAATAACAAGTTGAGATAGTCGAGACGAAACGCGAAGACCATCGGTAAATGACTTTCTATTAGAATAACTTGGTAAAACGATGGCTTACAAATGTTGTATTAACTTTAAACGGTGGACGTTCGGGAAACTGGTGTTAGTTTGTTAGGGTGGATGTCGCCCAATCCTTATAAAATCAACCGCTGAATGCTAACCGTATACATGCTAGATGCGCCAATATCGCGCTATGCAACTTGATACTTGTTGGCTGATACAGCATGTATTTGTCAGAGTTTGTGTTTGAAGCTTGGCGTTCGAAATGCAGAAGCCGAGCTCTTTTCTAAACCTTAATTGTCGGGACTTCACGTCTATAAAATTTCATTGAGTTGAATTGACATGAAGTTTGGGGCTGCGTAAATTTAGAAGTATGACATTTGTTCATTTTCGTGAGTAGAAATAGATTTATTAGCTTTCCATTCAATTTTCAAACTGGGCTTGAATAGAACTTCAGTTCTCATTGTTGGTTCGACAGTTCTATGACGTTCGTATTTGGAACAAAGGAATTCTCTCAAATGACGAGGAATAATGTAAGTGCCGCCGATTCGGGCAGCGTCAGGCTGACCTGCAAGCCTGTAATATTCGTCCAACACGAAGATACCCAGTGCAACGGCGACCGCACGTCCTTTGCTCGAGTTTCGATCGGAAAATCTCTGGTTCCTACAAGCTTTGCAAGTGATCTAACGCAGTTTGATACATCACTTGATAGCTTCAAGAAAGCTCTCGGATTTATTTCTGCCTGATGGATCTCTTTACTTCCCGAAATTGAGGTGTCGATAACTCTCCGGTAGTTCGGTAACAGGGTCGTGTTGACAGAAGTGGAAGCGAGGTGAGGTTAGATTGTGTGACGGGTCATTATTGTAGCTGCTCGTTGTGTACTCTGTTGCTATGTACAACTCTAACGGAGGATGTGCAAGGAGTGTAATTAGGGTTGGAGGAAGGGAATCAATGAGGCTTGGAATGGATGGCACTGCCTCGTGAGATTTGAGGTGCTGTTTCCGAGACTTTAATGTCTGTCGTTGAGTCGGCCAGTCGGGAATTCGTGATGTTGGTTTAGGGAGTGTGTCATCAAACATGTAGACGCTCCCTGAACAGACATCCCGTATATATAATATACCTTCTGATATCCACGGAGACATCAACAATTAATTACATCAATCACGTGCGTATTTGTTGTAATCTGGACATTGTAGATTGAATGCTATTCTTGGTGTCAATTATAATGGTGATCTGGTTTTTATGGAAGTTAAGGGGTCAGTATAAAAGTTGGCATTTGATTACAAAGGCGGAACTGGTGTGTTTTTATTGCAGCTGTAGACGCTGGAATCGATCATCTTGAGTGAGGCGATGTTATCTGTGACAGCTGTGGTTGATGAGTATGTGACAGCTGTGGTCATATACTCATGTGTGACAGCTGTGGTCTAGTTAAACTGCAAGCATGCCAGTTTCGTACAGTATGCCTTAATATTTCTATTGGGGTCTGGTGGTCATAGAGAGGGCAGATCCGTGGCGATGGTTTTGTCCTCTTGGGTGGTTGTTTTTAGGGGCTGCTGTAATTTAGCTTAGTCTCAGGAACTCTAGAATAGGAATGAACAATAGGTAACAGATGGATAATAATAGAATAAAAATAATTTAATATGTTCAGACGTGAAATGCCTAGCACCATTTCGAACCCGATGGAAGTCTAGTAGCTATTTCAAACTATCGTCAGCTTGGAAAAGATCCGGTCAAATGACATGTTTTTAGATCTCCTGTGAAAAAGTCATGAAAAGTACAAGAATCGGCGACAGGCCACATCAGGCCTACTCTTCAGCGCCGACATCACTATGTTATGTTAATAGTATTATTGACCATCAAAACACGCAAGATAACTTTCGAGAAATAATTCATGAAAGAAACTTAAAAACTTTGGAATAGTTCTTCGTAAACCGAGACTTCGACTATACCGCAATAGATTTTTCTTTGACTCGAGTCACGCACGTGTTATAGAATGATGAATTATTTCTTAAAACATCTTGGCACGCGTGGATCGCACTGTTTGGGTATATATTGTTTGATGCATCATTAAACTTCCACGAGTTTCTACATAACAACGGGTCCCGAGAAGTGTCGATTGAGTTATATATAATATGAACGCGTTCAAGAACAGACTAGATAAAGCCATGGAAAAATATATGTTCAGACTTGAAATCCCTAGCACCATATTTAACCTGGTGGAAGTCTAGTAAATATTTGAAACTATCGTCAGTTTCGTAGATCCGGCCAAAGGACCTGTTTTTAGATCTCCTGTGAACAAGTCACGAAAAGTACAAGAATCGGCGACAGGTCACCTCAAGGCTATCATTCTTCAGCGCCGACATCACTATGATATGATATGCTTGAGAAATTCGTGGCGGACTCATCCTATGAAGCTTGCGGTACATTCCTTCATTGCAGACTTTAGCTACGAGTTACATCTCTAGATGTTATGATCTCATGATTATAAAAATATCCCATACTATCTGGTGCCACCTCGAAAGTCAAGAACATTCTTTAAACTGTAGTTATTTGTCTTAGAATAGAAGTGTCGGCCCAGAAGAAATAGGCCCATGGCCTGTCTCCGATTCGTGTACTTTTCGTGACTTGATTCACAAGGGATACGGCCTTTGGAACCCGATCTTTCCATAACTGACGATTGATTGAGATAGCTGCTGGACTTATTGTCTGATCCGTAGGATGCTAGGCATTTTAAGACTTAATTAACATATGCTTCTGCATAGCTTTGTCTAGTCTGTTCATGAAGGCATTCATACTCGGAGCGTCAACGATGCTATCAGGGAGGCTGTCTTCTTCTAAGTACTCAGGTGATGAACAGACTTTCGAAATTGCAGGAAAATTTGTGTTGTATCCAGTATGTATGTATCATATATTTGCTAATACAACACTCGTGATGGGAATGTACTTTACTATTTATTTATTTTATTGTATTTGCGGATTTGTCTATTTAGGCTTGGCAGCCTGAGATTTAGGCTCGGCAGCCGTGCCTGATGAGCTTTACGGCCAGGAACATAAAGCCTGCCACCGACCCCAATAGCGTTGTCGTCAGCAGCAACCATACGTCCACGTTGTACACCTCGTACCTGCCGCACATAGTGACTGTAGACATTACGTTTAAATAGTGTTTATAAATTCTAGATGTACAGGGTGTTTCAGAATTAAGTAACCCTTTTAATTTGTTAATAAATAAAAAACTAAGAACGTTATGAAGTTGAAACTTGTTTTATTTAAAAGAAGAACATTTTCATGGTAATATTGCATCATAGTTACGTCATTATATATCCTGTATAGCTTGCTAAATTTGTGTTTAATTATCAAGCCTTAAATTTTCATCATGATTCGCTACAGCAAAGAAGAAAGAACAAAAATTATCGCTACAGTCAATAACGATGTCAATAACCGAAGTTCAACGTGATTACAGGATCCATTTCAAAACAAGGATCCTTCAAAAAACACATTTAAATATCT